TGTCTTAAGCTCATCCAGAGTGTTGGGTCTTGTGTCTTAAGCTCATCCAGAGTGTTGGGTCTTGTGTCTCAACTTTCTCTTCACAATATCCCACAGATTCTCTCTGGGGTTCAGGTCAGGAGAGTTGGCAGGCCAATTGAGCCCAGTAATACCATGGTCAGTAAACCATTTACCAGTGGTTTTGGCACTGTGAGCAATAATTTGACAGTTTAAAATTAGAATACACTTAGAAATCTCATTTAATTGCTGTTAATTACTAAATTGATTAGCAAATATTAGCTTGTGTAGTATATTGTACATGATGTGGCACTGCTGAATACAGTTTAACAAAAACTAATAAATATTAGGCTGATTTGTCCTCTGATTTAGGTAATATTTACACAGTGTAAAATATATATTTAAATATTTGTAAGTTTTTATTAGAGAAACCTAACCTGCTGAGGAGATAATTAGCTAATATCAGCATAGAACCAAGTTTCATATAACCAAGTATGCAGAGAACATTTTCTAAGTGTTGTCTGGTAAATATTTATTATTATTATTTATGACAGTAAGAAATAACAAATATATTTTATTACTATTCATAATTTTTAAACCAGCTAAAAAGTCTCAGTTACTGACTGAGTTCAGGTCTGGTTTAGATAATTTGTATTTATAGATGCTACTTATAGATGCTAACAGTGAACGGTATAGACCGTGCCTCCTCTAACGATATGTATTTAACTCTATGGTACTATACTTTTGCCAGTTTGACTGGGACGTGGGAATTCTCGCTTACAAGTCATCAATTTAATCTGCAATGCCCCCTCCAGTGGGAATTCCCTGTTGGAAAGTGGGAGAGGTCAGAATTCAAGATGGCAGCCGCTCACCACATCTAAACAGGGAGTAAAAATCTTACTTTTACTTTTAATAGTATTTCTGCTATTTATATTACATTTAGTCAGTCGTACAGTACTTTTCAGTGTTAAAATAAGAGGATGTGTTAAAACACTGTTTCTACGCAGGAAATACCATGTAGAGCTCAGTTATTGTTTGTTAGCGGTGCTCAGTCGTAGCAATGAGACGGGGAACACCTCATGTGTAGCTGAAGTTAAACATGAAAAACTGGGCCTTTGAGGGCCAGTGCTCATGTGGCCCTCTGTGAAAATGTTTGACACCACTGCTCTAAGCAAAGAAACTTGAATCACATACAGAAAACTGCTAAATGCTTTTTCAAACGATCTAGCATCACTTCTCAGGATTTCCGTCGTCGTGACAATATCAGCACATTTCCACCGTTTGTTATGTTTATGTTTTACCCTGAAAACTGTCACCTCAAACCCGAGTTTCACTCATTCAAGCTTTCTCTTTAAAGTGGCTCGTTGAGGCTTTGTCTCGTTGCTTTGATGTATGCAGAGCATCGACGCACCCTCTCACCCTGACAGAATCATCACCACGTGTCAGACTCATGAACTCCCGTTGCTCTTACTCCATCTTTGGAATCGTTTACCTCTGCTTGGTTCGGCGGATGAGTTACAAACCGGCTGAAAGTAGGATGTGTCAGGTGTGCTTTTTCACAAACTGCCCTCTCTGGGATTTATAGATTTATCACAAAAAGTAAGGAAATGTGTGTTTGGTAGATTATTTCTTAGTTGTAACAATGCTTCTTAGCAATATATCTAGCGGGCAGCTTATTGGCAGCACCTGGGGGTACCAGAAGCTCAAAACAAATGTCAATAGTGACAACAAAATAAGCTGTTTGGCAGAGAGGATTTGACAAACTTTTCATGCGCACAACCCACACACTCAGCTCTACTGGTCATCCTACAAATGCATGTTCCTTACAAATCTGGCATCATTTAAAAGGGAAATTAAGAGACTTTCTAACAATGTAAGATTTATTGCAAAGAAGAATTGTTACAACAAAGAAATAATCCAAACACGTTTCCTTACTTTGTGTGCTGTTTCTATATGACTTGTTTTGGTGACGTTGTTCTATAAAAGAAAGCTATTTTAAATTCCCTGCATGCAGACTGGGGATGCCAGTAATTCTGACCAGAACTTATTTTGTCACTCAAATGTAGGTTCAGGTTTTGTAGGTACTTTTTTTTTTGTCTGCTCGGTCTATGAATAGTCATTTGCACAAAGTGCACTTCCTGTCTGTCACAGAAGCTGAACTTGAGCTGATGTTTGTGACAACTTC